GGTCCCCTAACCTCTTGAACATGCTTTACACATTTTTTTCTCCCCGAAGGGCTGGAAAAATTCGGCCTCTTCAAGCGAGAAAAAAAAGAAAGAGATTCTTCTTCGAAAGAAAATTCGGTTAGCACCGTAAGGTCTTAGAAGAAGATGATCAAGAGGTTTTGGAAAATCTAATAAATCGCTCCACCAAGATTTATTATAGATCGTGTAAAGGTCATACAATAGAAGATTCGAAGGTTGTTGATTCGTATTCCGTTTGATATATTAAATTCGCGGTCAGGTTCTTTACCCATCCTCCAGGTTCCATTCTCACAACCATCGAGCTTGGTGCAGTGGCATGCGGCGCTGTCTTCTCCGTGCGGTGGTCGCAGGTTCGATCCTTCTCCTTGCCCAAATAGGAGACATTTTCTTTTTACCAGATGAAGAGAAAAACGCGTGGGCCGTGCGGCCCGCGTCCAGGCCTTCGCCTTTCACAGCTCCAGCCCGCGCACGGCCCGAGAAGCCCGATCCCAGCCCGCGTGTAAGCCCAGCATGGCAGCGCATCTCCTTGGCCCAGATGTCCCTCCGCGTGGCCCAACTACCTTGTGCGCGGCCCAACTGCAGCATCACTACGGCCCAACTCATTGTTGGTGCAGCCCAACGACTTTGAAACAAGCCCAGAAGCATCCAAGCGAGTCCAGCTTGACCGGAGTGAGCCCAGATAGCTGCCAGCAAGCCCAGAGCGAGGTTAGACCGGTCCAGGCGTGTCCAGCTCGCACCAGAACGGTTCAACTTGGTCCAGAAGCCCCGGTTCGAGTCCAAGATGGTTCCCAAGCGGTTCGAGCAGTCCGATTCACCTACCGAAGGTCCGAGACGATCCGATGAGCTTGATGAGCGATTGGAGCACCTTGACAACTCGATTAGAATCGAGAAAGGCCAAGTCTAGCTGCCCATTAGACTTTGGTGTTCAGACGATCTCCATCAATGGAAATCAGAAACGTCTCAGAGTCGGCAAAAAATTTTAAACCGTAAGTCCTAATCCTAACTATAGATTTCGCTGCGTTAGGATTTGTTATTCAATAGATTTGAATGTGCACATTGTCGACGTTCTTAATAGAACCCAACACCTGCGACCTGAAAAACATGAAATACGTGGGGGCGTGAGCACTAGAACACTGTGCTCCGCAGAAACTCATACTAATGTAAACATTGAAAATAATAACAATATCATGATCCTGGCATATATAACTGAACTGAAACTGAAACTGAAACTGATATCTGATACCAGTCTGAATAATCTGATACTGATCTCGTGACATAGGTCACGTAACTGATAACTGAACATCTGTCGGCACAACCTAATACCGGAATCTGCCGGCACAAACTAATACCGGACACCATGTGCACACTCTAGTGGGCAGATTAGGCCACTAGAACCCAGAATGGACCGGCGACCATTCCGAGTGAATACTGATAATACATACCTCAAACATGGTAGCGTAATTATAATCAATGTAGTACTTAGTCTGAGTCCCCACCTGATCCGTGAAACTAAAGATAGTGCTGATGCCTGATCAAACTGAAATATAATATAAACAATTACTACTGACTATGCTCATACTGATAAATTAACTGATTAACTATGTTAAGATGCTCTACTGAACCTGACATGATATTCGGACTTAATCGGTATAACTGAAACCGGTTAAGTACGAAACTGAACTGATATTAATTAACTGAACTGAACTGGACCTGGAATTTTAACTTAAAATGACACTGAAATCATGAACCGGTACTGAAACTGAAGAATACTGACTGAACCGGTCCAGCCGGTCTGAACCGGTCTGGATCGGACTGCCGGTCGGCTGAACCGGGCAGTCGGGTGCTGGCTCGGCC